TGATACTTGTGCACCTTTGAGACTCATGGCCTCGGCCGTGAGTCGGTCCAGACGCGTGTGCAAATGTTCATGCGGTATTTTTCCTACCTGAGTGCATGCAGGTCTGCTGCTCCGCTCTGAGCTGCATGTTTACATGTAAACATCACATGGGCCTGCAGGGAGAACACGGGGGACATCTTCTGATTCTGGTGCTCGTAGAACATGTCATGAAGGACGTGTTTCCAATAAACAAAGGTTCACGTGTGATGATATTCTGGAATTTCAAGTTGACACCCTCTTAGCCACCACATCCTGTTAGAGACGCAGGAATTATTCACGACTTTTACACTTTCTGATGTGAAACGGTGCAACTCCCCACCTAGAGAAGGTTAAGCTGCAGACAGTCGCAGGTTGTCAGTCGCTTTTCTGTCTCACGCCTTCTGCTCTGTTGATTTTTTTCTTTCTGCAGCTCGTTTGCCATGTCTAAGACAGCGGCTAAGAAGCTGCACTGGTGCTCCAAGGTGCAAGACAGCTTCGTCCCTTTGCTCGGCGCGTCAGGAGAGCTGGGCATCTCTGTTGGAGGAGGAGCAGATTATGGAGAGTTTCCCTTCGTCACGTCGGCTCCAGGCGGCGGCCTCACGGTGGGGGACATCGTCCTCGAGATCGGCGGAACACCGGTGCTCGGCATGACGTTAGGAGACGTCCGCGGGGTCCTCAGCTCTTGTCCACATCCCATCCGCATCAAGACGGTGACATCAGGTAGGACTGAACCTGCTGACCGTGAGCTCTGCCTCCACTAGCGGCATCAAACTCAGCATTCAGAGTCAGGCTTTGTTGTTTTGTTGTTTGTTATAACGCAAGGCTGTCACGTTGACCTGTAAGGATTTACTTAGGAAAAGTTCCACGGAGTAAAATAAATCATCTGTTGAGATTTGCACTTTAGATTTATTCTATTTTATTATTTTAGGACTTCAGAAACGTCAAAAATTCATAAAATCAGGTAATGCAACAGCTTTGAGTTTTCCCCACATATCAGATAGGACATTTTAAAATGATTGACTTATTATTAACTATTAAAATCTAATCTCATTAATGAAGATAAGTACTGATTATTAGAGCAGACCCGTGTTTCTACACATAACCGGTCTCATGCGGCTGATCCCATCAGCTGCGGCGTTCTGGTACTGGTTAATGTTTGCCAGTCCAAGTGTGTCAGGTCGCCCGTGTGGTTAGGGGTTCAAATTCCTGATGACACATGACGGGACAGCGGCATTATGGTTTCCTGTCAGCCACAGGAGGCCTTGGCGTGGCGAGCGGGGGGAGTGCCACCTGGTTGCAGCTCCCACTGGCCTTGCTTTTTATAGATTGATGGCTGAACTGGCCACACGGATGCAAATGTGGACCTTTGCTCCTCGGCCGCTGGTGGATCTGTGATCAACTCCGAGTCTTCTGCCTCCCTGGGCAGCTTGGCAGCATGTTGCGTGGACAGTGATGGATGGGTTGTTGCTGTAGCACACCTCCTCCTCCCATTTCTTCTAAAACTACCACCGTTATTCCTTGGACTCCAGCTTTTAATGCAGGACACCGAGCATAAAGAGCAGCAACGCCACAGAAATACAAACGCGCACGCGGCTTTATGACCGCCGAGGCCCAGATGCTCTTCTTTACGTTGCTCTCATCCTTCTTATGCTTACAGAATTTTTAAAGCTGTTACGTAATCTGAGCCCGGCCACGCTCATTCAGCTGAAGAGCTCGTTCTCGCTCTGGCTGCGTAGAAAACAGCAGCTGTCCCAGAGCACAATCAGCAAAAGCCCATCGTTGTTCTCTAAAAGGCAACAGGAGAGCTTCACAGACTCGTGGCAGACTGCAGCCGTGTGCACACGGCCGTGCTTTTACAACACGAAGAGGCAGAGAGCAGGGGTGGACGGCCGAAGCGTAACGGACAGCCGGGGTGTAGACAGCGGCCTGCAGGGGAAGCTCTGACAGAGGAAGACGAGTTCAGCCCATCAATAACAGCAAGAGGCCTGTCGTCAGAAGCCGTGAAGCACTTGAGACGATGTCAGGAGATCGCAGAGAGGAACCGCAGCTCTGACCGCCTCCAAATGAAGCTACAGGTCCACCAGAGGGAGCGTGGGTTCGTGTGAAGTGGTCTAAAGACGTCAGTGGATTTGGATCAGGGCTGTCAGGAGCAAACATCATGACTTCAGACACGTTTACATGCACATGCTCCACTTCTCGCTTTGAGGGGTTTTTATTTACTCCCTGTGCTTCTGCTCCCTCCTCTCCTCTCCTTGTTCTGTCTGCCCTCCCCTCAGGCTCCGCGTTGTGCAAGGATCTCAGGTTATATCTGAGCAAATGCTTCACGCCCGGCTCGGTGGACAGCCAGCTCCAGCAGGTCATCAGAGAGAACCTCTACCTCCGAGCGGTCCCCTGTAAGTCTCTTTAACAATGATTCACATCTCTGCCTGCCGCCTCGTGCCCTTTACCTCTCCTCTGGTGTCATTCGCCTGATGTTTTCATAACAAAGCCGAGCCTCTCTCTTCTCTTGGTTCCTCGTTAACTCTGTGACAACAAAGCTTCTGTTGCTGCCGTGTGAATATCCTGGTGTTAATTAGCCTTTAAGTGTACAGAGCTGTTTCCTCTCCTCCTCCTGTCACTGTGAGCGTGCACTGGCGTGCGTTCACCAGGCTCACATCTCATCTGGGACATAGGGAATGAGAAATGTTGTGTTTAGCGTGGACATCAGGTCTGTGTTGCCACAACGCTTAGTTTATTTTGCGTGGCGGTGTGCTACCTAGAATCCACAGCTCGGTGCAGGCTGTGTGACCGGACGTGTAACGGGTTCACCGGCAGTTTCATCCTGAATAAAAGCCAGCTCAGTGGCAGCCAAAGGCAGCTAGTAGTTGTACATCCGTTGCTGACTTTAATCCCCCGCCATCGTGACGTCACTGGAAATAGACAAATCGCACAAGCGTATTGAAGCAAAGCGTTTCTGTTGCTATTTTCTGATTTGCTTCTTGTTAATTCTTTAATTATCCTGTTAAAGAGGTGGAAGGCACCCCCATCCCTGTCGTGTGTGTGTGTGTGTGTGTGTGTGTGTGTGTGTGTGTGTGTGTGTGTGTGTGTGTGTGTGTGCGCGGGGGAGTCTTAACCTTGTCAGGGGAGTGTAGAGTTGCCGCTAATCTCCCCAGGAAGTAGGTCAAATGCCACAGTCTGTCCCTCCGACACACAACAGTCGGAGACGAAACAAAGGACGGTTCACGAGACGCTGTCGGACGGCTGAGGTGTCCCTCAGGGCGTCACTGAAGTGTAATCACAGTTTTGCATTTGCGGGCCTACCCGAGCAGCTCAGATGAACTCTAGAGCTCTCAGGTTTGTGTGTAGGGGTAAAGTTATCCTGAGAAGGTGTGAGCGCCGCTCTGAGGAAGCAGCAGGTATCTAATTCATGATGAAATGTCTCTCACGTTGTCCGCTGCGTCCCCTCTGCTCTGGTGTCGTCCTCCCATGTCTGGCTGCTTTAATTTGGTGAGAGTGACAACCCGGCAGGCTCAGGCCCTGGGTGAGTAATCCCCTGATCTTCTGAAGATGACACAGTAGCATGCTGTTGTTGACACCGGCACACGCGTGCGGCCCGAGCACAGCTAGGAAGCGTCTCCGTGAGAACCTTTCCTCCGTGTGTTGTGTCGCTGGTTTCCTGGACGATGCAGCTGTGTGAAACAGGATTGTGAAGATGAGGAGTTCTTCATCAGCGGCTCATTGAGGCCCCCTTCAGGACCACAAGTAGGTTCTTCCTGCTCTCTCTTTGTCCGTGGTTGTTGTTAATTATTCAAACTTCCCTTTTTAATTAGCCTGACTTTTGGATTTTTGTGGTAAGGAAGGAAAGAGCTCATGACATTTTCATATTTGATTCTCTTTCCTGTGAAAAAAACAATGCGGCTTGTGTCTCTGTGCTGTTTGGAGTATTTTAGTCCTCCGTTTCTTTTGATGAGGCAATTTTCTCTGATGCTCAAGTTGGCAGTGATGCAAGAAATATCATTACAGAGGCTCGGTTAGGAGGGCAGTGCATCAGAATGGAAATGAAGGAGAGAATTAAGTAAATGCAGGCTACAGCCACATGAATCTGGAGGGGAGAATGAAATTAGGAGCCAATGTCTGACAGAGATAAGGTGGTGGGGGTGCAGCAGTGCTTCTGATGTTGGTCCCGTTTTCAGAGATCATACATTACTTTTCCTTGTCTCGTCCCTTTATTCCTCTGGGCGGGTTTGCAGCTCTCACTTTACCCTCCTCAACTTTCCCATCCATTGTCTCACGAAGCGTTTGTACTTGTGCCCTTGGATGACTCAGAGCCAAAGTCGCCAAAGTCTCCGACTCGAGGCCGGTCGCATCCTCGCTTCCCCCATAAAAGACTTTTCTAATTGCATTCAGAGCAAGTCAGAGATAAGAAAACGTCATCATGCAGCATGTCAGGCGGACTGTGGCCTTTTCAGCGGTGCGACCCACTGTCGGCTGGTTGTGTGCGGCGATCACGTCAGACAGACGACGCTGGGTGTTGCTGCAGACTTCTGGGTAATTACCTCTTCAGTCCCTCTCTCACCCATGTTCCCGGGCATCAGTGTGCAGCGCCGACAGCGACAGGCGGGGAAGAAGAAGATGTCAATAATCCATTCTGTCTCCCCGCTGACATGCCACATATATAAATATATAAACATCTCCAAGGAGGGTGTGTAGATAACGAATCCCTGCCTGACTGTATCAGCTGGAGAGATGCTGCATGCCTCGAGAGGAGGAGGAGGAGAATTACACACAAGTCAGACATCATGACGACATTTGTTATCTCATCTATAATTAGATGCAGAGGACTGTAATTTTTCCCAGAGTGAACTGATATGAGGTGCACATGCATGTTGGAGATGATGTGCTTAAAATAAACGGAAGAATGGAGCAAACCGGTAAAAACAACCTTTTATGCGACTGGAAACCAATAAATGTTAGTGTCACCCTACCCCACCGCTAATCTTATCTCAGAGGTAATTAGTATCATCTTAATGATGGAGTCATGGCCGCTTTAGGCCTAGTCCTGAAAATGAAACAGATAAATGCAAAAAGGCATAAAATTAGAATTAAAATAATAAATCTAATATATATATATATATATATATATATATATATATATATATATATATATATATATATATATATATATATATATATATAGTCACGATGTGGTGTTGATGGACCCAAAATGCAGTACCCAGGATGACACGGAGGCAGGGATGAAGATTTTAAGTAATAGGTCTTTATTTTGTAGGTGAGCCAAAAACCAAGGTAATCCAAACTGGGAGTCAAAATCCAAAAAATTCCAAAAGGTCAAAAAGCTGATTCTTATCTGGGGATCAAGAACTCTGGTTAAACACGGAGGGACTAAACTGACAGAATCAACAAACATTAATGGACCGACACAAGACAAAGACAAGACAGGGCTTAAATAGGCTGGGAGGGGCAATCAGGAAAACAGGCAGCAGGTGTGCGGAGTGAGCTGCTGGAGGGAAGGCAGGTGACGATAATAATCTAAATGGGGAAACAGAACAGAGAATGGCAGATAACCCTAAAATACAATATTTAAACCTAAAGACTGAGGGAAAGGCTCACACAAACTATCTGGAGGTGGACATAATACACACACACACACACACACACACACACACACACACACACACACACACACACACACACACACACACACACACACACACACACACACACACACACACACACACACACAGAGAGAGCTGGGGACAAGGCTGGAGCTACAGACTGGAGGAGGCTGAGGATGACTGAAACACCGGTCCTGAAGGGTTAATATGAGGACCTACAACCAGAAGACACAATATAGAGACACAGACCATGACAAATATAATGTAATGTAATAATATAATATCATATAATGCAATTCAATTCTATGTAATGTAATATGTTATTTATGTAATATTATATAATGTAATATAGTGTATTTCATTCCATCAGGACCACCATGTCCTTGTACTGGGATTTCAGCTGCTGGGAAGACAGTGCTTGATGGCACCATTTAGACCATTAAAGCCTTTGACCCAACAAACAGAATGAAATCTCCCGTATGTGGTCTTGACTCTCTGAACCCTGAAATGTCCCTTAGATTATACATCCCGTCCTTGCTGCTGAACAACATTTCTGCATCGGATGGTGATGTGTCATTTCTTCTGGCGTACGTCATCTTTGCTGTAGATTATAAAAACCCAGCTGTCTTTAGGGCATGTTTGTTTAAGTCCATGTAATCTGTGAAGAGTAAAAAGTAGTTGTAAAACACAAAATCATCAGAATGTGATGCGAGTCTCCCAGACTTTAGCTCAGGAGACATTTATGGGGTCATCTTTAGAAGCAAGGCTTCCAAAGCGAACGAGTTGTAGATTAACATCTAATACTTACTTTCTAGGAGTCTCTTGAGGTATTTAGCTACCAGGGACACATACTGTGCTTATTCTTTTGGCTGCTGCTGATGTGCATGTTCTGATCGTTCTGCAGTAAAAAGCTGTGATCCAAAGGTGCAAACACGCTGGGCGGCTTAGCAATAGCATGTGGAGATATTGGTGAGCTACACGGCACAAATACAGAGCGTACTACTGGCACAGCAGCAGTGGGCAGACAGCCAGAGCCCAGTGTGAAGTAAACAGTGCAGAGGGGAAAGGACCGGCTGATGGACGGCCTGTCAAGCGCTGCTGTCCACTCCTGTGTTGTTGAGCAGGGTGAGCTCGCTGCAGAACCCTGGTTTTGGTGGATTTGTGCGTGTGTGTGTGTGTGTGTGTGTGTGTGTGTCATGGTTTTGGGGACGAGTTTAACCCAAGACATGCAGAAACACCACTCGCGCACCAAACGGGTAAAAATAAAGTGTCTTTATTAAAATCGGGAACTGAGGACGCACTGGATAAGGCCCAGTGGATTTCAACGGAACCGCAGCGTCTGAGGAGAGGGGCAGGTGAGCATAGGCAGGTAAGTCAGAACTAGTTAGGTGCAGAGTTAAGACTTACGGGGAGCTGAGGAGTAGGGGAGGGTAGGTGGAGTGCCGGGGTGAATCCAGGAAGGGGGTGTCCAGGAGAGGGAGCACGAGGAGAGCAGGAGAGCGGGCCGGCAGGGAGGAGAGGAGAACGGTGAGATTTATGAAGCACAGGTGAGTAATCCAGCGGAGGAGAGTAATCCAGCGGGACTGTGGAAAGGTAACTGGGGAGCCACAGGAGAACCAGAGGAGCTTCAGAAGTCCAAGGAGTATCCTGAGGAGTCAGGGTAAGGTCCACAACGATCCAAATAATCCTAGGAACAGGTAAGCAGGGTTAATCCACAGAGACACAAAAAATTCAAAGTCATTAGAGTTTAACCAGGAGACACAAAGGGCTGGAACTACCAAGTTGTAGTTAATCATCCGGCATCGAGATGTGTTCTCCTCCTCCTCTTATGGCTGGACCCGCTGATTGTCAACGAGCTGCAGCTGGAGCCTCCCTCTCCTGAAACACAGCAGCTCAACGATGGAAACCATGAGAGGAGCAGTCACCCCAGTACATGACTGTGTGTGTGTGTGTGTGTGTGTGTGTGTGTGTGTGTGTGTGTGTGTGTGTGTGTGTGTGTGTGTGTGTGTGTGTGTGTGTGTGTGTGTGTGTGTGTGTGTGTGTGTGTGTATAGACAGAGGAAGTCGCGCACAGATACCCTGTAAAACCTGTGATTAATGCACTGCTGTCCTGGGAGCAGCTCTCACAGCTACAATGACACATGCAGGGTCTGCAGTGAGCGTGCACACACACACACACACACACACACACACACACACACACACACACACACACACACACACACACACACACACACACACACACACACGGTCCTCCAGGGGAAGGACAGAGGTTTGTCTTTACTTCGGTGTGATTTTGTCTGACTTCAAGGTCAGCTTCCTGTTCTGATTTGTAAATTAGAATTCCTCCAGCTGTTTAGTGGGAACCGTTTCCCACCGCGTTCCTCTTCTGGTGTTTAGTTGTGTGGAGATCTGAAGCCTCAGAAACCTCGCTGCTCTTCTGCAGGCCGGCGTCACCATGAATCAGTTCCAATGATGGATTCTTCCACCTTGCTAACAGAGATCAAACAACCTGAAGACTTTCCCAGCACCTCATTAATATTCATTTATTTATCTTTTCATAATAAAAGCCTTTGGTTAATGTCCATGGTTTGATGTTGGATGCACTGGTGATGAAATTAATGTTGCTTCTATTTAATTGTGTTTGAGTCTGTTCTTGTTTTTCATTTTAATAACATTTCCAAACCCTGCACACGGTGAGTAACCGGCTCCTTTTGCATTATTTTTGCGTCGTCTGTCAAACAGAGACTATTTATAGCTCGCTGAGTTTGTTTAAACCCTGAGTCCAGAGATTGATGAGGCCTGATGGGAGGGAAAAGGCTTTGATTAACTGATATATCATCCATGTCAGAGCAGGCGTTACTTGCAGCCTCATCACTCTGATGCATGACGTCATGTTGTCTCGCTCAGGCACGACCCGGCAGCCCAGAGAGGGGGAAGTCTCAGGCGTAGACTACAACTTTGTCTCCATTGAGGAGTTCTTTTCCTTGGAGGAGTCGGGAGCGCTGCTCGAGAGCGGAAAGTTCAAAGGTGAGATTGACCTTTTAACGCCATCAGATTCTTTTTCCTACAAGTTGGACTTTATGTAGGGAGCCAGAGTCACTTCCGGACCACGGGTCCCAGGAAGAACGGGGAAAAAAATGAACGCAAGTCAACGGGGCTAAAACGCTCTTTTTTAATTCCGCTTGTTTTGTACCATGGATTTCACGTATGATGTCCGTGAATTTTAAAGAAGCAGTTTGATACCAAGAACGCGCTTATTTTTGGACAGGGGGTAACGATGTTTTAGGTTTTGTGTGAAAATAAGTCCAGGACTACAAATACGCTTCAAGAAAGTGACGTCATCGAACCAGACACGGAGAAAACTGAGGGAAAAGGGCTGTAAGTTCAGCAAACTTCCCACAGGAGGAAAGAACCACCATAACTCTGGTCATGTGGTAAGTAGCAGCGACGCTAGGGGAGAGGGGATTATGTGGTGACGTCACATATGCGACGTGCCGATTTCTGGTGTGTAGTCTTGCTAATTACGAACTTTTACAAGCTAATAAACCTCAAAGTACGTGACTGGTGCGGTCGAAACACCCATCATTACTTTTCATTCAAATTGCAGCACAACATGTACGATCCAGGGCGTAAGGCGAAGCGGATTAGAAAATAGTGTTTTTAGCTCCGTTGACTTGCTTTCATTTTTTCGTTCTTCCGGGCAACAGTGAGCCGACCAGAGAGGGAGACTTTACGCCGGGGACACACCGGCCGCAGAAGCGCCGCGAAAATGGGACCGCCTTCATTCGGCGCCCTTGTTAAGCTATAGACCACATGGGCCGCCTCGCGCCGCGAATCGCCTCGCGCCGGCGCTCCAGCCCGCGCCGTGCAGTGATCATTTCGGCGTCGGCTCTATTTTTTTCGCGAGCCGCGGGTGAATCGCGTCAATTCTGGCAGGAAGTCAAACCTAGACATAAGAGGAAGGCCGGTAAATTTAACAAAATAAAGCATTTCAAAATAAAATTCCGCAATAGTCAAATGTGTTCGTAATCACACTGCAGAAAAACCACACAAACACACACACACACATCGAACTTGTGTGCGTGTGTGACCACGTGAAGGGGGGAGTGGTTTTGGGTGTCTTTTCACCAGAGCAAACAGGACAGAGGCAGAAAGTCTGAGGCAAGCAGTTAGGATGGATGACTTTAATTTAATTATGGAAGTTGAGAAACACGAGGAGTTGTACGACCCCCGAAAAACATGATTATTTACGTACCCATGTCGGAAGAAACTGCTAGGATACAGCTGCAGAACTGGAGCGGGTTCCAAGAGATTCAACTGGCAGAAACAACTCATACCATAGGTTCACACACACACACACACACACACACACACACACACACACACACACGTACAAACACTCAAACGTAGAGGAAAGAGCTGAGAAAAGGCAAAGAGAAATGGAGGACACCAAGTGTTTAAAAGAAAAACTACAGCTGAGCCGAGGCGCGCCTCCACTGGGGCCTGAACTGAGGAGCGGCGAGCAGAGGCCGAATTTCGTGAGATATTCACTTCTCGGCGCTTCGCGGCGCTTCCGCAGCTGGTGTGTCCCCGGCGTTAGGCTCCCTGTTGACGTATTGCTGGTATTTTTGGTCTAAACTCAAACTGCAGCAGTAGAAGGGACCACAGAACCTCACGTGGCCCCCGGGGCCAACAGTCGTGTGGTCGGTCCTTTGAGCTGATCCTTGCAACTTGTTTAAAAGCAACCTGAAACATCTAAATGTGACTCTTAACTAGGAGTTGTATCAACTAGTCGACTTCACTGCTCCGTAGTGACTTTTAATGCCTGTCATCGACTAGTCGCTGTCACGTGATAATTACAGACAAGATGCAGTCCTCGGAAAAGACAGCAGGTGAGGAGCCCCTGCATGTCGGGAGTTGACGCGCTGTGCCAGAGTGTCGGTATCTGATGCCCGCGGTAAAACGGACATTTAACCGAATTGTGACCTTTACCCTCTTGCAATTTAACCTTCCCCTCACCCCCATCCTAACCTTAACCAGCTTGCGCATGCAAAGCTCTGATCGTTGACGCGCTCCAGACATCTGCGTCCTGAGCACGGCCACAGAAACATTATCAAATCAGGTGTCGCCACCTCAAAAACTAATTTAACACGCGATCGTTCATGTCGGCTCATTTCCTTTCATGTTTTCTGTCTTTTATTCTTTTATTTGTGCCTGATGCGTTTCGCTGCTGTGGATCGGGGCGTATCACCTTGTCCTCACTGATGCGGCCGGTGCGCACTCCGCTGTTTTTGCGGTCGGTAGATCTTTTAGAACTGCAGTTCAAAGGTAACTCATGAGGTGAATATATATGAACGCAGGTAGCAGTTTCTCTTTAGGATTGAGAGGAGATGCAGGAAGATAATAAACAGGCAGGACAGAAAAATAGTCAAATAAAAACAAGTTAGTTTTTGTACCTGCTGGTTGCAACAAACAGACACCATTGAAGGAAATCAGAAGTGAGGAACAGAAAATGAAATAATTATTTTAATGTTTAGAGCAGCAGGAACTCTGAGAGGCTGCAGGCGCATCAGTGAGTTTGTAGCCGCTGTGTGTGTGTGTGTGTGTGGGGGGGGGGGGGGGGGCTGAAGCAGAAACTACCGTTGTTAAAAGAGATGTTTAACTTTGAAAATGTGGGCGCAGTTTAAATTGTCCACCCCCCCCCCCCCCTCCCGCCCGCGTCAGAATAAAATGCTTGGTCATCGTCAGTTTTAGCCGCTTCAGGTGTGTGACATCATCAACGACTAGTCGAAGTCGACTCGATTTTCATTACTTGACGGTCGACTTTAAAAAAAATTAAGTCATGCAGCCCCTATTCTTAACCGATGTGTTTGCGCCATTCACCGCATCGCCCTGGGCCATGCAGCACTGCTTGTTCATCAGCACGTTTCCTCTGATGCACTCACTGACTGACGGGGGGCGGGGGGGCTTCACCTCGCTGGGGGCAGCTTGGCTGGAGAAACATGAACCTGTGGGATGAACCATGTTGTTGGAACAACACTTTGGTCTCCTTGTGGACGGGGTTAGTCCATATTTCTAAGTGTTCCCTGATATATAATTGGAATTTTGCGCAGACCTCTGCTGTAGAGATCAGTCTCTGATCCCTGCTGCTGCTGTTCATATAAGTAGTACCAGTGAGGGGGCGGATTTATCTGGGTCATACGTACCATAAGTCGTGTTTCTGCTTCAGCTGAAGTTCGTTATCCATCAGACCAGTCAGTTTGCTCTGATGGTTTCTCTTCTCCCAGCGTAGTTTCCAGTTTGTTTCCCGTGGTTTTAACGCTGTCTCTAAAGCACGTTGTGACTTCCGTCTGTGAAAAGTACTAAATAAACAAACTTCTTCTCACCCGCACCACACCCTCATAACAGCGCCCCACCATCGTCCTGGTCTGAATGTAAGAAAGTCCTCCCATTCTTTAGACGCGTCACGCTGTAAAGCTGCAAGCTGCAAGCTGAAGCCTACGGCAGCCTGTAAGGGTCAGAGTGCTGCCTCTGATTTAAAAGCTGCCTTACATTAGCATCCATTATTCATGAGTTTAATGGGAGCGATAAATGTCGTCCTGTCACCTGCCTCGGGTCTGACACCGACAGACTCTTAGCTCCCATGTCAGCAGGGTTAGCGGCATCAAGCCCATGCAGAAGCAGCAGTAAAGGGTGACCGCTGGTGACCTTGCTGCAGAGTTCACTCATCTACTATTTTCCCTTCAACCCATCTGACTCAGAGGGAGGGCGGCGGTGATTTCCTTTCGTTTCTAGAAGCTGGAGCAGACGGCTGGAACAAAAACAGTATTTGATCTCAGGGGATAGATAAGGTATACAGAAATAGGCAGCGTGCTTGGTGCGTGCACTCAATCACATGAACCTGCTCTGCTTTAGGAGATAACCTCGTGTGTGTGTGTGTGTGTGTGTGTGTGTGTGTGTGTGTGTGTGTGTGTGTGCCACAGCTGACCTACAGGTAGGATTTTGATTTACAGCAATAATCTTCATTTGTGTCAGTCTTAACATTCCTGTCCCAAATCCAGAGCTTCCCACTCCATGCTGTCGGTGCTCCCCCCCCCCCCCCCCCCCCCAGCATGATTTATTGTCCTGTTCTCCGCTGCTCCAGGAAATTACTACGGCACACCTCGGCCCGTTCACATCAGCGCAGAGAGCCCCCCAATCACCTACCAGGAGCATCGAAACCTGCTCAGAAACTTCCGCACGCGCAGCAAATCGCTCAGCAACCTGGAAAAGACTCCAGAGGAAAGCGTCAACGGCGAGGATGACTCTGGTCTGCAAGGCAAGTGCTGCTAAGCTAGGCATCAGCTGGTGCGATCAAAGCTAAGAATGCAAACAAGTGTCGATCAGCTGATGACGACACAAATGACACCGCAACGTTTTGTTGTTTACACGATGAAAATCTACAGAGAACAGAAGGGATGCTTGCTAAGCCGAGGGCAGTATCCAGTGCCTCTATCTACGGTGTCAGTCTCTGATGCCCAAGTTAATCAATCATTAGTACAATTAGTGTGCTGCATGGTCTCGGTAGACGCGGGGCCTGGTCGGTTGCTGGATCTCCTCCAGAGGAAGGTCATTTTGTCTTTGGTGGCTCTGAAGCAGGAAGGTGTAAGCATGGAGGGAGAAAGGAAGGAGGCAGTTTTCCGTATGATCTTATAAATCCTCTTTACTAAGTCTTTAAAATGCTTAATATTCAGCAACCAGAAGATCCAGATCCTGACTCACTGCAGCGACGACGGGACACAAAGCAGCAAAGTTTAGTTTTTATAATCAAAATACACGCTGGGGAAAATGATTACGGGGTCATTAAAAGGACCTTTGGTGTGGTGGGATGAGTTCATCCGTAAACCCGCAGCCTCAGAAATAATCAACAGAACTGTGCAAGAGATCACGCCAGAATCGTTACGTCGCACGTTTTCACCGAGTCGTTCCAAGTGATTTAAATTCCACTACACACACTTTAAATATGCATTTTAAATGTTTGCAGTTCATGTAGAAAGTTCATCTTCTTCTGCAGCTTCTTTCTAAAGGCAGCAGCACGAGATCAAACCACGTTATTGTTATTTTTAAAACTGTGTATTGTTAGTTTTCCATTTTCATCACTTTTAAAGGTAATTCCTGTCCACACCACCAACATAAATATTTAGTTACTAACATGCTTCCTCTGGCGGCTGGCAGCTGTACATGTTTTAAGCTCCGCCCCTTCGGTCCTGACTAAAAAGTCTGAAAGCACTCTGATCTTTTTTTCCAGGCAGTGACTCCGGATGACTTTAGCTCGGTGCTGAATGTTCAGTTATTATTTAATGTGACGTTTAAAAAAAAACGCCATGACTGTGTCCAGGGTGGTAGGCGGGGCTTCCGCTCCCACCCAAAGACGCCAGGCATCAGTTTCCTGTTAGACCGTTCAGACACTGACGTTATGCGTTGGGACGTCTTCGTAAAGCTGGCGTTTGGGTTTGTCCCCTCACAAACACACAGGGGCGTGTCCAGATCTTTTACAATGGGGTGGCCCAGGTGAGGCACTACTTTGTGCATAGGTGGCACCAATAGTTATGCTTTTTTGTTTTACCTCAAGCCTGTTGTGGACAATGAAGAGCCCATTTAAAGGGAATTCAGTGTGGTGACACCTGGGGTGGCCAATCAGATTCCAAGGGTGGCATGTGCTACCCCAGTCCTCCCCCTTGACACGCCCCTGCAAACACAGGAGCTGCTCTTGATCGAAGTTTCAAGTGAAATTCCGGTTCTTGGTTATATTTTCAGCAAAGATTTTTTGACAAACGGTTAAACCAACCGTCCGACATGCTGTTTGTGTTTTTTTAATCTACAAATCAGCTGTTGACATTCAAAAACATGACGATCACACCCTCCACCCCCATGCTGCTGCTGCTGCAGCCCTGCTGACAAAACAAACATTGGCTCTAGATCAAGACCTTTTCAGACGTCGCCACATCTTGTCGGTTTTGTTTTCTGATCAGCTAAATGAAAGACTTTCTGACGAGGTTTTCCTCTAAATGAAGTTGTTCAGCCTGAGTGTCCAGAGATGAACCTCTGGACTAGAAGAACGGAGCGGGAGGAGACGAGACCGTGTGTTTAGGTGGAGTTTGGAGAGCAGCGACAGCGGGTGGTGCTTCAGCAGGTTGGGAGGCGTGGAGCCAGAGCGCTGCAGAAGACCAGAGAGGGACCAGAGTGGGAGGAGGGAAATGCTGGCGGACTTTCAGATGTTTGGAAATGTTCTCCCAACGGTCAGGCTGAGGGCTGGGGAGAGCCGTCCAACATGGTGACCGACGCTGAGTCAAGTGTAACTTGGTGGGCGGCTGGGACGTGTCCTTTACAGCAGGAGCCTGTGTCTGAGGTTCAGATCCATGCTCACAGCTGGAGGACAGACACAAGGACAGTACCGGGACACGTGTCCGATGCATCATGGCTAGACGGACGCTCACAGTGGGAGGACAGGGATACGGACCTCATGATGCATCTGACGCGCCCCACTCCCTGCTTGTGGTGTCACTGTTTGTGTTTCAGTCATCTCCACCATCTTTACAGGAGGCTCTGGAGGTGTGAGACGCGGTAATCCTGCTGTCCACCGCTCTCCCGGTCGGCCCAGGGCGTCCAGCAGCGGAGGGGTCGGTCACGTCGCAGAGAATGGGATCATCGGTAGCAGGAGAGGCGCCAGAATCAGAGGTGTGATGCCTGACCACTGGGAGCAGGCCTTCAGTGACCCGGGAGAATCACTTTACATCGAGTGAGTTCCTTCTGACTGGTCGCAATCGTAACACAGGGGTTTGTTCTGGCTTAGATCATTCTGTCTGCCTGTCAGTTTAGCTTAGCTTAAAGACAGCTAGCCTTCTCCTGTGGGTGAATGAGCACTAATCAGACGTCCACAAGGCTCGTCCTGTCTTCTACTGTAAGTGTTGTTTCAAAAACAGAAATCAAATGAACTTTTTACATTTAAAGCTGGGAAAACGCTTTTGTTATTTATGTTTGATCAATCACTTAGTCCAGTCTGACGTGTATAGGAAGAAATGGTGTGTGTGTGTGTGTGTCTGCTCGTTTATCGACATTAGTTTTCATTCTGCTGATTCAGCAATACTGTCTCACTCTGTGTAAACACACACACACACACACACCTAGCGGTGTCTGTCTTGGCTTCGTCGGGGCTGAACTCCACACGGTAAACCAGCTACGGCTGACTGTCCTTCAGCTTCTGTGTTACGAACGTTCCTCGGTTCCTCGGTTCCTCTCCCGTGACGTTTAGCTCCACGTCTGTGTCTGTAGAGGTCTGGTAGCCGTGTCGTTCATCTTGACTTGAGTTGATGTCATAAGTTCATTAGTTGTTGACGTACAACAGAGGAGTGCCGTCTGAGAATTCATCCGAGCTGTCAGACGGTTGATGGGATCTTTATCAAACAGACTCCCTCTCCTGTGGTCAACCCCCCCAGGAAATGTGAGGGTTCAGGTCGTTTTCTCTCGCTTTAAGCTTTCGGTGTTTGTATTCGTAAATGTGATTTAAGCTTTCTGAATGTTGCGTTGAAATTGATCCAGAGTTTCATGAAGATGGGAAATTCATTTCTCTTCAGTGTATTTCTAAAGCTGCAGTTCATAATGGCCTGTATTTGATAAAGCACCCGTTAGAGTCCTGGAACCCCCCAAGGCGCTTTACAACACAGTCATTCACCCATTCACACACACATTCACACACTGATGGTGATGAGCTACAATGTAGCCACAGCTGCCCTGGGGCGCACTGACAGAGGCGAGGCTGCCGAGCACTGGCGCCACCGGTCCCTCCGACCACCACCAGCAGGCAACGTGGGTTACGTGTCTTGCCCAAGGACACAACGACAGACTGAGCGGGGCTCGAACCTGCAACCTTCCGATTACAGGGCGAGCACCTAACTCCTGTGCCACCGTCGCCCCCTCTAAACTCCAACAACTCCAAATCAGATTAGCTGTAAATCAGCATGAAGTTCAATTAAAACTGAGTAAAACTAAGATTATTCTAAAGCGTAAATTGGTCAAATTGTCCTTATTCAGAGGACCCGACCACGAGTTTGGGTTGAAGAACCGGGCTCAGCATCGCTGACCTTTCCCCTCCACCCAGTAGTGTCTGAGAGGACAAAGGCTAAAGGACAGGGACGGACATTACTCCTGACACAGAGAGGTGGCAGCAACAACAGTACATATGGAGAGTAAAGGCAGCAGAGGGGTCTTATTTTATTTAACCTTTGACCTTCATGCACCTAAACCTAATGTTTAGCCCTGACATACTGCATTTTTTTATTATTCTTACTCCAAACATGACTTTAACGTGACCAGACCACAGTCTCCGGGCTCACCAGCTTCTGGTCACAATATAAAGCCTAATCGCACACACTGACTGGAGGCACAGCGCCTCTCCCTTCCTCTGGTACCCTGTGCATGCAGGCGGGTTGATAACCGCGGACCATCTGGCTGATCTGATGGAGCGTCAACTGAACCACAAAGGAAATGGGGCGGGCTCCGTATTAGGGCCATGCTTCCACTCAAAACTTCACAAAACCAAGTAAGTAGTTAGCCTCTAGATGGTGTTTGTGCAAGTCGGGCTCTGCCGTTGGCCAGTTTGGTAGTTGGGTTTTAGACGGAGGTGTTGTTGATAGCTGTTAGTCAGAAGGTGTTTGGTTTGATTTGGTATTACGGATGTGAAGCACTTTGTATTTAAATGAGGGATGTCCCGATCGAGCCTGAAACCACGTGATCGGGGCCGATTTCCGATCATGTGATCGGATCGGGACATCCCTCATTCAAACGAGGTCACAGAACAGAAAGAGGTGTTCTAAAAGTGAAAGAACAAAAACTGAACATGTTACTGAAACACAGAAGTCCAGCTTATAAAATAAAAGCTCATTTTTGCTGTTTTTGTGTCGGTTTTAGTGACACCTAGAGACAAAAGTGACTAGTTGTTTCAAAGCTCCAGGCTCCTAAACGCCAGGCCAAGTTACTCCACAAACCTTCACTCCAGATGTTGCTGCAGCGGTCTCTCGCACTAGCGAACAACCATGAAGACTTTCACGGTGGTGAACTTGTTTATTTGCGTGAGCCTCAATTAAAATGGGAGCTTGAAGCTGCTTTGTGCAATTATTCTGGTTCAGCTCATCAGACGCTTTATTTCTTCAAACTGAGGCTGTTAGGGACACCATCTGGAACGTTTGAGCTGGTGATCCGTTGCAGCTTTTCCACACAAACACACCTCGGGTAAGTGGGCAGGTGACTGGTTGTGTGTTTTGTGCCACACGAGGAACGAAGTGGCAAATGTTACACTCCTGCCAGTCTAGACGGTGAAAATGTAAACGTGTTTGTATCAGTAGCTGAGGTCTGTGTCTGAAGCTAAAGCCAAAGGAAAAAAAAACTACGAATGGCTGACATTTTGTTTAGTTTAGTTCATTTCAAACAAAGAAAACATGCATAATTTTTTAAAAAATACCACAAACAGAAAAAATATATATCATCATCCCTTCTTCTCTGTTTGAAAAGGAGTAGGCTGAAGGGAAACTTATATATCCCTACCCCTTTATACAAGTAATTTTTACTTGTTTACTAAATCTAACACAAAACCTACATTAAAACAAACAAAATGGTACAAGTCACCAAAAAAAAAAAAAAACACCAAACCATATGGAAAAAAACAAAAAAGAAAAAAAAACATCTTTTTACAATTGACGCAATTTACTTTTCCTTAGAATAAAGGACGCCCACATAAATCATCGATTTTCCACTATATACATGTTCAGAATATGTTTTTTATAATTCATTTTAAACACATTTATATTTGTACTTACTTTGATTTCTTCTTCTAAATTGTTCCATAGTTTAACCCCTATTATTGTGATACACATCTGTTTTAATCTTGTTCTAAACTTATGTATCTTTAAAGAGCAAGTCACCCCTTACAAGAAACTTACTTCACTCCCACTTCATGTTTGAAAAATGCAACAAATGCTGTTGCCTAGCAGACCGAGAGGGCGGAGCCACTAACAAATACATACACTCACGACATTGTGACATCATAATGTACCAGTGTACATCATAGCATACCTCTTAGCCAATAGCGGTGGCAGATTTAAATTCAAATGCAGTGAAGAGTTTTTACCTGACGACGGCACAACACTGACAGTTTCAGGCAGAATATTTTAATTTTAACTAAGATGCACTAAAGTGCAAAACTATTGACTACACGTGTCTGCAGCACGATTAGACATGCATTTATGTAATTTATCAGAAAAAAATAGTTGATTTGGGGGTGACTTGCTCTTTAAGTTTAGTGTCCCTCTCAGGTTTTATCCTCCTTCTCTCTCTGTGAACAGTTTCTGTATTTTATCAGGCATTAATTTATTTCTTACTTCATACATTATTTGTGCTGTTTTGTATTTAACCAAGTCCTGGAGCTTCATTGTCCGCGTTTTAATAAAAAGTTCATTCCTGTGATCTAAATATCCTGCATTTGTTATTAATCTGATAGCCTTTTTCTGCATTGCCGTTATTGTTTGTAAATGACATTTCTACACATGCAGTAAAAAATACGGCTTTCCTTTTTCCTCATTGTGCTTTTCTTCTGCTTCCCCTCTCCAAGGCGCAGCCCCAAAAGGACCAGCTGGCTGAGTCCTCGTCCCTCGAGCAGGGAGGCCCTCTACAGGAACGAGTGTGAGCTCCTCTGTTTGCTCCTGTCTCCTTTCCGGTCGCTCCCGTTAGGACACCAGCGACACGTTATCAGCTGAAGGTCCTAATGAAGCTGCAAATTTGTCACGCATGGAAGTCACAAACACAGCCGGCTTGTTAGAGTCAAATGAGACAGAATGAGCTTTTCGCCTGACAGGGGAGTGGACGTGATTGAGGCCTAAAGCTCGGAGTTGCTGGCAACGAGCCAGACCTGCTGCGCTGACTGGCAGGGTCGGGAGGGTCACATGTGACAGGCTTCATGCTGAAATAATGTAGAAATAAGCTGGAGTCTGGTTCATCGTCATGATGGCAAAGTGAAAAGGATTGGTAGAGTTTTGGGTCAGTGAAGCATAGCGCCCTCGCTTCACCAGCAGGAGGCGGTACAGTATTATAAAGACCTGCATAGAAGAAACTTATCAAGGTATTCTGCAGTTTTTAATATCAGAACAACACAAATAATCATTCTTGAAGCTTAAAGCAACCAGCTAGGGCTTTATTAAGAGATGCTCAGACCGAACCAAGCTAATGGATTAGTCGCCAAATTTAACTCGCTGCTCAGTAATGGATTCTGCTTTTAATGCAGCCTCTCCACCAGAAGCTTTGGTTGGTGATGCACTTTACTAAAATCCGTCTGCCGACAGCGATCATCTCTCTTTTCTCCTCTCTTCTTCCAACCAGTCATTTCTAATCATTAGTGTAGAAAAAGATTTTTCTCCCTCCTGGTGACACTTTTTCTCCTGGAAGACCTTTTCCTTGGAGGTAAGCGTCATAATTATCTCACCACTCCTTCATTTTCCTGCTTTCTGTGCTTTGGTGACGGACCAGGGTTCACAGACCATCCGGATGAGCTCAGAGGGTACCCTGTGCACGTGCACCTGATCAAAGGCTCCAGAGGCTTTGGTTTCAACATCGTTGGAGGCAGCAGGCCGAGAGAGCTCCTCCAGGTCTACAGCGTCACGACAAGTGGACCTTCCACTCTCAAGACGGGTAAAACTTCTCATTTGTTTACTGGGAATATCTTATAAACAGATGGATTTGTTTACGTGATGCTTTTGAAATCAGAGGTGCACATAGGTGATTTTGGACACTTGTAGCTCCGCTCCTTGATTAGAACAGTGAGGTTCTCTGATCTCACAGCAAGTGTAGATCCAAGCCCATAATCCTCTGGACAAGAACACCATAATCTAGCTATCATAACATTGGAAATACGGTGGTGTGCAGCGTGTCGATGAAAATGCACGCAGCTGCCCCGTGGAGGCAGCTAACACCGTTCTAGGAGCTCAGCAGGCCTCTGCAGCGGCTGATCTGCTTCGTGTTTGTTAACAGGCTGCTTTAGAGGGATTACGTTTTAGGGGATTAGGCCACACTCACACAGAGCATAGCCAGAATTTATTTTTTTGCAAACACATATCTATACATTCAAATGACTGAAATCTGATGTTTTCTTTTGTTTTTGTTTTTTTGCTAGCGGACATCCTGGTGTACATCAACGACGTTTGTGTGTTGGGAAAGTCTCACAAAGAGGTTGTAGGGATGCTCAAGTCAGTGCCTGTGGGTCACAGTGTGGATGTAGAGGTTAAAAGGGGATACCCCATGCTCTACAACCCCAACGGTCTCCTCAAGCAGCCTTCGCCGAGGTCTCTGGACAGTGAAGGTCCTATCCTACCGCCGACCACCACCCAGCCTCAGTCTCTTCACCCGCTACCTCGCCTGTCGACGCCCGCACCCCAGACTCAGCATTATAACGAGGTCCACAGTGACGGGGGCTACACGCAGCCCGGTGTGACTCTAGATGCCAACGGGAACGCCACGCCATTCGCTTCCAGACCGCCTCCCCCGTACAGATGCTCCAGTGTGAGCGACGCTGCCACACCCTCGCCGGTTCACCCTCCTCGGTCCCTGAAGAGTTTAGCCAGGCTGCAGTCGCTTGACCCGACGCAGGCCAGTCAGAGTGACAGTGAGGTGGTTTCAGCGATCGGTTCACACAGGTATGCCAGATGGGATTATTTTTTAGAGCAGCGGTTTGTTTAGGTTTGATTTTAATCGTCGTTCTTCTTTCTGATCAGGAAATCATTGATCCGAAATCACAACAATAACTCCCTTTCAACGCCGCCACACCTCCTGCATTATGGAACATCAAAGTCTTCAGAAAGTGACCTGTCTAACTGCACCATACCTGGGGCCCGGCTGCCTCTACCCGAGTCTCCACGGAGACCGTCTTCTTCCAGCGCCGGTCCCCGCAGCACCCACCCTCAGCTCTACGGACCACGCACCGCCCACCTCAGAGCCCCCACGCCGGAGAGCCCTCGTCACCACAGCTTTAATGGTATCCACGGCAACACCAGCCCAAACGGCAGTCCTAGCGACGTGTCGTCCCCTGGGGCCATGAGTGTCGGCAGCGGCTTTGGGAGTTTCAGTGGGGGGGAACTGGTTCCAGTGGCCTTGGCACAAGCCGAAGGAGACCGAGGCCTGGGCTTCAGCCTGGCAGCCGGTGGACACAGAGGCAGGGTGACTGTGGTGGAGAGGGTCTGGGACAGGAAGCAGTGCAGCTCCCTGCAGCCAGGGGACGCTATCGTCAAAATCAATGGAGCTGATGTCCAGAGCCTCAGCTGTGCACAGGTAACTCGTCAGAATGGTGCTTCTGGATCCTTTTGTTCAAATACCAACATTTATTTCTCATGTTTCATAAATCATCATGTAAGATAATATCAAGCATTCCTAAAAGACTCCCTGTTTTCCCAAAGATCCAAACGATTCTGCAGGAACACACCAAACAGGGAGAAGTCATTTTGCTGATTTACAGAGGAGGTAAACGATTCACCTTCACTGTGGAGCCGGACTCTTCACGGGAACTCTGCTGATTTGGTTTCTTTTCTCTCTTAGGGAACTATCATTCCTCCATCTCCCCCGGCTCTGCTCGGAGACTGCCTCCCCCTCTTCTGCATCCCCCTCCTCCCCCCGTTGGGTCAGACAACTCATCTGCCCTGTCGGACATTTTGCCCATGCCCATGCCCCGCACCTCCCCAATCCCACCTCCATCCCCGATCCGGATGGGCTCCTCGCTGATCCAGAGCACCAGTTTCCTGGAGTCGATTCCAGTGACCCTGACCATGGAGCCCAAAGACTGGATTGACATTGGCCTGGAGGACGAGGCCGGCGGTGTGTCGGTGCCGGACGAGAGTCTGGAGAAGAGGAGGGGCGAACGGACCCGTCCTTTGAGAGGGTTTGACGTGGAGCTGAGAAGAAAGCCGGGCGAGGGATTCGGGTTCGTCATTGCATCTCAGGATGTGGAGAATGGTAAAGGTGAGCGCTGTCATCATCCATGTTACTGGTCTGGAACGCCGCAGAACCAGAGCAGAACTTTCAAAACCATCACAACCATTTGGTTGCCTGCCCACAGCAATGTCCTTGAGAACAGAAGCGCCATTAGATAATTGCACAGTAAAAGTCAACATGGCAGCACGCCACTGGATTAGTCACGATGCATCACCAACCCCCCCCCCCAAGCAGAAACCTGCTCTGGCATCCACCATATCAGAGCAGCCCGAATCAGTCGTTAGGATGGGAAACAAATATTTCCCGTGTTCAGGTGTGAACACACCTGTGGTGCTGCATCCAGCAGAGGGTTGCTATGATGATGTGATCCCTCTGCCCAAGTGCTGTTGGCACGGATGTTGTTCTTTGGGCTTTGTCTTAAAATCGATCCAATTAATACGCCAGGTTCACTTTCAGAGCACATTTTAAACAACCTTCATTAACCAAAGTGCAGATCAAAAATCAATAAAGCAATAAAGACCCATGAAGACACATAAAGATGAGAACAATAAAAAAACAAATAAATGCCATGAGACGAGCATTTCCTCAAGCTAAACTCAAACGTCTACCCGTTAGCAACTCTAGAAAAGTCTGGAGAGCTCGAAGAAATGCAGGTGAGTAGTTTAGTTTAGTTTAGTTTAGTTTAGTTCAGTTCAGTTCAGTTCAGTTCATTTTAGCTTAGTTTAGTTCAGTTTAGTTTAGTTTAGTTCAGTTCAGTTCAGTTTAGTTCAGTTCAGTTTAGTTCAGTTTAGTTTAGTTTAGTTCAGTTTAGTTTAGTTCAGTTCAGTTCAGTTTAGTTCAGTTCAGTTCAGTTTAGTTTAGTTTAGTTCAGTTTAGTTTAGTTCAGTTTAGTTCAGTTCAGTTCAGTTGAGTTCATTTTAGTTTAGTTTAGGTTAGTTTAGTCAATTCAGTCTAGTTTAGTTTAGTTTGGTTCAGTTTAGTTTAGTTTAGTTTGGTTTAGTTTAGTTTGGTTAAGTTTGGTTCAGTTTAGTTTAGTTTGTTCAGTTTAGTTTGGTTTGGTTTAGTTTAGTTTGGTTAAGTTTGGTTCAGTTTAGTTTAGTTTGGTTTAGTTTAGTTTGGTTTAGTTCATTTCAGTTTAGTTTGGTTTAGTTTAGTTCAGTTCAGTTCAGTTTAGTTTAGTTCAGTTCAGTTTAGTTTGGTTTAGTTTAGTTTAGTTTAGTTTGGTTTAGTACAGTTTAGTTCAGTTCAGTTTAGTTTGGTTTGGTTTAGTTTAGTTCAGTTCAGTTTAGTTCAGTTCAGTTCAGTTTAGTTCAGTTTAGTTCAGTTTAGTTCAGTTCAGTTCAGTTGTTTAGTTTAGTTCAGTTCAGTTCAGTTCAGTTGTTTAGTTTAGTTCAGTTTAGTTCAGTTCAGTTCAGTTGAGTTCATTTAATTTAGTTTAGGTTAGTTTAGTCAATTCAGTCTAGTTTAGTTTAGTTTGGTTCAGTTTAGTTTAGTTTAGTTTGGTTTAGTTTAGTTTGGTTAAGTTTGGTTCAGTTTAGTTTAGTTTGTTCAGTTTAGTTTGGTTTGGTTTAGTTTAGTTTGGTTAAGTTTGGTTCAGTTTAGTTTAGTTTGGTTTAGTTTAGTTTAGTTTGGTTTAGTTCATTTCAGTTTAGTTTGGTTTAGTTTAGTTCAGTTTAGTTCAGTTCAGTTTAGTTTGGTTTAGTTTAGTTTAGTTTAGTTTGGTTTAGTACAGTTTAGTTTAGTTTGGTTCAGTTCAGTTTAGTTTAGTTTAGTTCAGTTTAGTTTAGTTTAGGTTAGTTAAGATTAGTTTAGTCAATTCAGTCTAGTTTAGTTTAGTTTAGTTTGGTTTAGTACAGTTTAGTTTAGTTTGGTTCAGTTTAGTTTAGTTTAGTCAGTTCAGTGTAGTTTAGTTTAGTTTAGTTTGGTTTAGTACAGTTTAGTTTAGTTTGGTTCAGTTCAGTTTAGTTTAGTTCAGTTCAGTTTAGTTTGGTTTAGTTTAGTTTAGTTTAGTTTGGTTTAGTACAGTTTAGTTTAGTTTGGTTCAGTTTAGTTTAGTTTAGGTTAGTTAAGATTAGTTTAGTCAATTCAGTCTAGTTTAGTTTAGTTTAGTTTAGTTTGGTTTAGTACAGTTTAGTTTAGTTTAGTTTAGTTTGGTTCAGTTTAGTTTGGTTCAGTTTAGTTTAGTTTAGTTTAGTCAGTTCAGTCTAGTTTAGTTTCGTTTGGTTCAGTTTAGTTTAGTTTAGTTCAGTTCAGAGTGACCTTTGAGTTCACCCGGAGCTGCCTTTCCAGGTCTCAGCAGTATTTCTAGGCCAAAGGGGCAGTTAGGTTATTATTCGTGTGTTTGTGTTGTGATGGATGATCAGAATGTTTTTAATCCATCAAACCGTCCTAAATGCCACGATGCTTGGAATCGAGTCGGCCACCGTTCACTGAAGGCTCTTCTGTTTGTCTCCATCTGGACAGAACGACGAGGCTGGTTTTTTATGGTCTGTGTGAGAAGTGAACTACCCTTAATGCAGCGGGTTATCTACAGCATCCTCAGATGCATCGGCCCATTTCCCTCCTCTTGTCTTGTCCTGGACTGGATGTCACATGGATGCAGTTAATTTTGCTTTATGGTGTTATGTTTCCTTGTGGGCTTGAGGTTGTGGGTGTGCTTGTCCCTGCGGTGTAAAACAGGTCCATCATGTCCTCATTCCTCCTCTTCATTTGACTTATGTCCTGCAGCAGAAATGAGTCCTCTCTGTCTATCTCTGTATTTTCCCTCCCTCGCTGCTGTTCTCGTCCTGTTGGCTCCCACTCACTCTTCCTCTCTCGCCCCTTTTTGCTCTGCAGTAAAAGCGTCCGGTCTGGTTTTTCAGAAGATTAAAACTCTCCCCTCCCTCCTCCCGCCCTCTCTCCACATCACCCTCTGAATGCTTAACAGAAAAGCTACGCTGAACATTTGAATCGCTGCGGAGCTGCAGAGGGGGACAACCTGGGCTCCGGCTCCTTTTGACTGTTGCACGTGAACCTCGGCACCACTCAGCTGCTGCAGCTGGAATGCAGGAATCTTTGTTTTTCTGATTTTATTTTTGCTGTGCATGCTAATCTAAGAGCCATGCTGGAGAGACTGCAGTCTGCTTTGAAGACTGTGAAGGAGTCTAAACGTAATGTTTGCTTTGCTTGCTACTGTCTTGTATCAGGATCAGGGAGGTTTCCCTGCAGGGCTTTTGCATTTAGCTCTCTGGGTTCTCACTCTGAAGTTGGTTTGTTTCTCATGTTGACAGCGTGAAAGTTACATTCTCGCGCTCACGCGTTCTAGATGACAAACAGCTGATCGGTCTGGTGCCGGGAGAGAGGCGTGTGTAGAAAGGACTTTAGCTCCTGCAGGGATGATCTGTCCAGGAAAGCCGTGAGGAATGCAGCTGAGGGTGTTTTAGCAGCACCAACTGGGATGTCCCCAGCCTACCTGCCTACCGCTGATCCTCGTGTTTTCTGACGTCTGCAGCTGCATCAGTGCTGCGTGCAGCGACTTTATGACGACGGGTAGCAGGGCTGCCACCTTTCAGAAACGGTGTGTCGGAGCCTGGCTGCTGGGCACAGTGCAGCGGGATTACTGTGGACATGGGGAGCTCGGAGAGCCGGGAGGAATAGACCCTGCAGAATAAAACAGCTCTCCATCTGAATGCAGCTGTGTAGTAGTTTAACTGTGTCTGTTTGTGCATCTGTGGCTGAGCGACCTGATGTCCCTGGGCGTGTGTGTGTGTGTGTGTGTGAGCACAATGGGGCCGTGTGCATGTTTATTCATGTGTTTGTTGATGTATTATGCATGATAGATAAGAAGACTACGTCCAAAGCTGCCTTGGCTTTGATTTGACCTGATTGCCGTTTCTGCGTGGGTCACCCAGATTACACCCAGACTGGAGATGTTTCCGGGCTCTGATTTATGGGCCATGGCTTTTAACTGAATCATCCTACTGGTGTGACACACGCTTCATTCCATGTGACATACTCCCCCGGCCCCTTCGTCACAATTTTAATCTGTTAGCAAGCGTTTCGTTTTGCAGTACAAATCGACTGAAACGTGCTATTTTTGTCCCAGAGGGCTGGGAGTGAAAAGGATTCGGTATCTCGGATAAACGAGACATGTCGATGCTGCCCGATGGGTTATGTAAGGCCGCCGGAGGAGCCAGCTGTCACCAAAACGCTGCGAGGTCAGGGCGAGAGTAGCAGGGAGTCGGCCGGAACACACAGAGAGGGACGGCGGATTCACGTCTGAGCAGACTCACGCAGCACGTCCGACCACCAAACTGTAAGAAGCTTTTTAGCTGTTGAAGAAGATTACTGGATGAAAATGTAATTCTGGGCTGCTCAGTATTTGGCCCGATCTACCTCAGACGCAGATCAGACTGGAGCTTAATCCTGCGTGATCTCATCCAGACAAATGGAGCGTGTCGAAGGCTCTCAGCCGCTTCTGTTTTCACTTCAGAAAGTCTGTTGAACCGCAGCAACCCACGCACTCACGTCTCATGCGTGCCCTCCTTTCACACCTTTCACGTCTCACACCTGTTAGTATTTATCCAGCACGACTCCAGCCGGTACCCGTGTCGGGTTCTGGTCCGTACAGATTTTAGTTGATTTTAATAGAGCGAAGACACACCGAACGCTTTTAAAAACGAACAAAGCGCTCGACTGCTGGCAGTTTACGAAAGAAGAGCAACCTTTAGTTGTCTGTGTTGCGAGGCCAAATTATCACGGATTAAAATAGGAAAACTTGTTCATCGGAAAGTGAAAAAGTGCAAAAGAAGACAAGAACAGCTCTGTCTGAGGTCGCTGAGCCACCACCCACAAGAAAAAGCCAAATTCTGAAGTTTTTGATGCATTTCTGCTCACGTGGACCACCTGTGACTTAGTGGAAGTGAACGTATCGTCATCATTGCTGCCTCTACCACTACTAGCAGAAACAGGGAGTGTTGTTTTGTACAGTTTGACAGATTCAGGACGGGGACTGTTGCCAGGACGCTCTCGTTCTGCCACACTTTGTTCTAGAGGTGAAAGATGAACGAATAAACGGGGAAATGCTGCTGGTGGGTCAGCAGATGGTGAGGTAGGATGACAGGTGAGAAGACGTGTTTCAAGGAGACAAAAGTGGCGGTGTGAGAAGTCATCGCTGCCAAACGCCATCCGGGACCTAAAAATTCCAGCAGCCGAGATTCCCTCCCTTCGGCCTTTGTCTGCCTGGTTTAAACCTTCGTGCTGTTCCGCGTAAACCCGAACAGCAGAGCTCATTCCATCCGTCTCGTTTCCAGCTGCATCCCTTCTACCCCACCGCTTTGTGACGGTGCGCCGCAGCAGTCCCGCAGCGAAGAGCGGCCAGATCCGAGCCGGGGACCGTTTGGAGGCTGTGGAGGGGCGCTCGGTGGCGACTCTGCCTCATCGGGAACTCGCTCAGATTCTCCGCCAAGCAGGAAACACGCTGCGCCTGACCGTCGTTCCCCGCCCCAGCACCCGTAAAAGCACGCCTCCAGTCACACACAACACACTCAGCCCGGCTCTGAATAAATAACACATCATCTGTCATCCTCTCAGACTCCTCCAACCTCTCGGAAACCGCTGAGCATGATCAGGACCACAAGAGCAGAAAGGGTCAGAGGTCACGCCCAAAGGTGAGGATGTCTGAAAACCAACGTTTCGTGTTGTGATAAACCCTGCGGTGACGCTGACCATCTGTCCCTTCTGACTCAGCGCAACTCCAGGTACTACAGTGTGGATCTGGATCGGGGGCCCTCAGGCTTTGGCTTCAGCCTCCGAGGGGGGAGCGAGTACAACATGGGCCTTTACGTCCTGGGACTGATGGAGGGGGGCCCTGCCTCTCGAAGCAAAAAGATACAGGTGAGACCACGAGACCGCCGGTCCCAGAGACTCCCCCGACAACCACCTTCAGGCCTCTCCGTGGTAAACACTAATAGCTGATATTAACAGCCAATATTTTTTCCATCTTGTTTCCATTTGTTTTGTTTTTCTTTTGTTTCAGAAGGTCAGGGGATGCTGTGTGTATGTTTAGTCACGTGACAGTGATTGTTATTATCTCAGAAATGTGATTGTGTGTGGCGTGTGTACACAATAATGTAAATTTAGCTTTAATTGTTTTCATTCTATACAAAATCGTCTGATTTTAGAAGCATTAATGTCAGCATAGTGGTATCTGTGAATATTGGTTATTAGCCATAACAGTGAAAATAATTTATTTTACCTTTATTTATCCAGATGAGTCAATAAATAAAGGTTGAATTAATTATTTTCAATGTTATGGCTAATAACCGATATTTGCAGATACCGATACGCTGACATTTAATGCTTCTAAAATCAGAAAAATTTATATAAAGTATAATATCGGATATCATTATCAGCCCAAAAGTTCATATCGGTGCATCAATAATTTAAAGTCGTAATAACAGAAAGCACAACAACTAAATAAAATGCTAATGAGGTTATCGAGTTATCCACAAGAATCTATTCAGGCTCCGCCCACCGCTGCTGAGATCAAACCCAAACCATATTTTCATTTTTTCATCTATTTACTGGTTTAACAAAGACCAGGTTTTATTTTTAGATGTTGTATTTTGTGACAAAAGTAAAAAATAAAATGCCACAAAACTAAACTGCGTGTTTACTATCAGCATTTATACTTTAGCATCCTCTAAACATTTGGCTGATTTTATTGTTTTTGTGCAAAACAAGCAGCATAAATGAATACTAAACATGTAGGAGTGTTACATAAATAAAAACTGAATAAAAAACACAATGGCATAAATAGAAAAGAAGACGCTTCAGATTATATAAATGTTTCTGTGGGAGAAAAAGTAAGAAAAGAGCTAAAAGAGAAGAGTACCTGAGCTAAGAGCTTACATCAGATATCAGACAAGAACCTCCCTCTACCTTCTGGAGTAACCCCAACCCTAAAAGCTTCAGCAACATAAAAAAAACAAAACACCAACGCTGGACCAGTTTAACTCCTGGAAATGTTGTGGAGCTGCTTCTGTCATCCAGGCAGCGTGCGGTTAGAACAGCGTCCACCCTGAGAATGAACTCACCCAACAGAGAGGGAAGCACGGTGGGTCAAAGGTGTTACTAGTGAGGGAGCATCCTGTCATGATCCCAACATACAGCAGCTTTGGTTTAATGTGTGACCAAAGTCTGGTCTCAAAATGACATCACGTCTAAAATTTGCTCTAAAGATAACACGTACGCATTATCAGCAAGGCTGTAACATTTAATCACATCTTATTATTTAATTCACACGACTGCATCCTGAGGTGGTCACTTTTCACGGGGACACTAGCCCTACCCTAACTTCTCAGTGTCAAAGTGGATCATGCCAACATGCTCTCCTGAACTTGTACACCTCTTCTAAATCTGCAGTATGCTGCTAATGTAGCGGTAATATAGCATAGCATAGCATAGCATAGCATAGTTTATTTATAGAGCACATTTAAAATGCAGCATGGGAGCTGCCCAAAGTGCTGCACAGGCTAAAACAAAACACACCCATTACAAGGAGCTAAAACTAAGGATAAAATCTCAATTAAAAGCAGAGAAAACATGAATAATAAGAACACATTAAAACAATGACACAATAAAACACTAAAACGAGTCACTGTCTAAAAGCCAAAGTGTAAAAGTGGGTCTTTAAACGAGATTTAAAACCCGCCAGAGATGGAGCCTGCCGAACTCCAATGGGCAATGAGTTCCATAGCTTTGGGGCAGCATGGACAAATGCTCGATCCCCCCACGATTCGAGTCTCATCCGCGGCGTGTGCAGCAGCAAAAGGTCAGCCGACCTCAACGAGCGGGTGGGCACATATGGAGTGAGAAGGGCAGAGAGGTAGGGAGGTGCCAGGTCATTGAGTGCTTTAAAAACAAAAGTCAGTAACTTAAACTGCACTCTGAAAATGACAGGGAGCCAGTGAAGATGTGTCAGGACACATGGTGAGGGTCCCGGGTTAGCGTAGCCCACAGCTAGCTGCTACTGTTGGCTTCGTGTTTTTTTTAAATGATCCTGTTGGACTGATCGCTGTGACTCTGGTGCCACCATCAGGTGACTCTGGGGGAGAATCTCCTTCCCGCTTTTACACAGTTTACGACGAGCTGACAGTGATGTTGTGGATGCAGGTGAGCGACCAGCTGGTGGAGATCAACGGCGACAGCACGGCCGGGATGACGCACGGTCAGGCTGTGGAGATAATCCGCCGAGGGGGCCAGCGCATCCACCTGGTCCTCAAGCGAGGAAACGGCTACGTGCCTGACTATGGTGAGGTGGAGCTGGTTGATGTTTGATGCTGAAGGACGCATGCTTTAGGGGTTTATCTTCTCTGGCTCTGTGTTTGGGACGCGGTCTAACTAAAACACCTTCTACCCTTTCATTCTCTCTCCCACCTCTTCGATCGCTCCCGATTTAACCCCTCTTCCACGCCCCTGCTGCACACGGGCTTTCCTTCCATTTCCCTCCTCCTGTCCTTGCCTCTCAGTGGAGCTCTCCAGTTTGTCTCTGTGTATGACCAACTCCAAACTGGGCGAGCCTTGCTTCTATGTCATTGGACGGACAGAGAATACGCGGTTGGTAATGGTTCCTGTTAGTCCTCCCATTTTCTGCCTTTTTACACCCCTTTCTAACCAGCCAGCCCTGCTGTCTCTACTCAGTGGAAGACCGTAAACCCGGTCCTAGCTGTCAGAGTTCGTCATCTTCACCAGAAATGTAGCAGTTTGGATGTTTCTGCCTCTTTTAGTTTCCCTCAGGCCCGCCTTTAGGCAGCGTAGTAAAGCAGCATGATTGCACAACCGTAGAGCGCAATTAAACTAATGAACGTTGCACTCAAACAGAAAAGCAGCTGTTGTTACATAAGCTGGTCCAGGACACACGCAGATGCATTAATTCTCCTGAGCTACAGGCGTTTTATTCTAGATTACATAAGTTTGCTGCTTGTTGCCTTCCTGCTCAGGCTGTTTTCTTGTTTGTGCAGCCCGTGAGCACAGAATCGCCTCCCCCTCCCTCCTGCACAACCCCAAAGAGCAGGGTTTGGCTGCAGTGAGCTCCGCTGGACGGAGGGGACGCACGTCCAAGCAGAAGAGGAGGAGCGGGTCGTCCGGAGACGTGAGGGGGAATGGGACAGGAATGAGAAGACGAAGAAGACCGAGCTCAGGGGGAGGAGGACGCTCACGTTTACAAAGCCCCGTCTCCAAGAGAGGAGAGCGGGACGAGGCGAGGAAGCGGAGGTCTCGGAGTTTACCGAGGGATAACACCAGGAAGGATGATGATCACGTAGACAGTCGGACTGTTAGGGGACACGATGGGGACAAGGAAAAGCGGAGCAGCAGAGACAGAGAGAGGAGAAGCAAGAGCAGGGTCCGGAAGACGAAGTCGGAGGGTGAGAAGCCTGAGCAGGAGGAGGAGCAGGGAGCAGCAGCCTTCGAGGTGAAGGTGGGAAGACGAGCCAGTTGTGAAGAGGACGACATTTTCATGCCCAGCCCAACCCGACGGCTTCCCAGACCCAAGGAAAACTGGAAGTGCGATGCTGACAGACGCTGGGACGTGGCAGCAGAGTACAGGGAGCTGAAGTGGGACAAGGATCAGGACGAGGAGAGGGGCGAGTCACAGGATGATGACTGGGACGAGGTTGACAGCACAACGCTGGACATAGATGAAGAAAACTACGACACGCAGTCTACGACCTTTTGGAGGCCGTCTCCAGCCGCAGCAGCAGCAGATCCAGCATCACAGAGAAAGCCCTCCTCCTACCTCACCTCCACGCTGTCTGTGGACGAGCTGGGGGATGACGGGTCAGAGTTGGGCTCTGAAGACAGCGTCTCTGCCGCCAGCATTTCCGGCTCTTCTCTCTCTGCCAGGGCTCTGCCGGGCCCTTGGCTCCCGCCCAATCAGCAGAGGCCGGTCGCAGAGGAGAACCGGCAGCCTCGGAGCAGGACAGAGCCGGCGGGGAGAGGAAGTGCCGTCTCTTGACCTTTAAAGGAGCACGCAGCAGCTAAATAAATCCCGAGTGAGTTAGCGCCCTCTCTACGAACACTTTTCTGAGTCACCTTCAGTAGAACCCTTCGTCTTTGTGCCTTTTTGCAGCTGCTTTCCGGCTGATGTTGTCATCACTTTTCAGTTTCACACTTCTCTTCCCACATTAGAAAATCTGACTTTGTTTTTTACCGTCTACTAGTTCGTCGCTCACCTTTCAGCTTCCCCGCAGCCATCCAGACTGCTTTAGGCGAGCGTCGGCTCTCCGCCGCCACAAAAATACCACAAAGACTTTTACCTCACGGAGGTACCGAGCAACGAAGATGCAATTGTCCAAGACTATCAGCCGTCTGTCCCCACTGCACCGTCCAGTGTTCATACGCATGGACGTAATTTTGGGGGGGGACAGGGGGGACATGTCCCCCCCACTTTTTCCAAAGTCAAGCTTTGACCCCTGCACTTTTTACCATCCAAAAACAATATTACGCTATTTTAAATTGACACTGGTTGAGCTCTAGGACCAAGCAGAAAACAACCATTTGTGTTGAAGCCTGTTTCCCATTAGAACATGCTGTAAAGATCCCCCCCCCCCCCCCCCGTGTCCCCCCCACTTCTAAAGTGAAAATTACGTCCAGTGTTCATACGGGAGTCTGTGGGCGTTTGCCTCCACTTGTCACGTTGCATTGATGTCTGATTGCAACACAAGCCCTGTCAAAGGCAGGTGTGAAATCTGGACTGTACATATCTTTAGACAAATAAATAAGAGTGTATTGTAAACCTAATGAAGCCAGAATTTGTAGAAGTGTGTTATAAAAATCATATATTTGAATATTACAGTAAGCGCGCACACACACACACACATATATATGTAATCGTGTATTATTGTGTGACGATGAGTGATGTGAGCTGTGGTACCCGGCTTTCATCAAAGCTGAAAATGTAAACAGACCGGTCTAGCTCCAGTGGCAGGCACGAGTTTCTGGTGAAGCTGCTGGGAAACCAGCAAAAAAAAAAAAAAAAGATGCCAAAACACGTGCATTCTGTTTGCATATTTCTAGAACTGTTAGTGTTGTGTGTGTGGGGTCAGCATCCAACCTAGAATCCAGAGAGTGCTGTGCCCATCGTGCCACGTACTGTTGCCTTGGTAACAAAACCACTTTATCCTAACCGCTATTTTTCTTAACTGTGAAAATCTTTTGCTCCAAGGTGTCTGCTGTGAGAGAAGAGTGGGCCGTTTAGTAATCTCAGCCATGCCAAATACACATGTGTGAAAAACTAAAACGTTAAAGGACCTTAATGTGAATCAGCAAAAAGGAAAGTCTGAGCTCACGTGTGGTGAAACCATCTTTGTTTTCTTTTGTCGCTCTTTTCCGTGAACAAACTCATAGGAATGAAGCTAAACGGATACTGTGAGATGTTATTTTTCTATGAAATGATCTACTCAGGTTTTCTGATACTTTGCTCTAGATAAGCCATCAGCAGGAGAAGCTGCGGAGAACGATTGACTCAGCAAAGCAATATCATGTTGATTTGTGACAGCCGCATCGGGACACACTGACTGTTTTTTATTACCTGGTTTATTTGTTGTTCCTTCAGTTGAAGCCCTCTGAAGCTTATTGACTTCTTTGGCCACGTTATTTATTTGTGTCCCACACAGAACGGCAGCACAGCGACCAACCAAACACGAGGTGTCCTCCAACAGCTGAGCGGACGGGGTAGCCTGTGTGTACAAGACTTATTTTGTAATGTTTGCTAAAAATCTTCAATTTTTGTTTGTTTTTTTTTTTTACTTTTTTTAAGGGAGACCTTCAGTCTGGCTGAACTTCAAAGTGCAAATAAAGTCCTGAACCAGTTTCCTTTGTCTTGTTTCTTTTAGATTTAGCCTCTTTTGTGGCCAGCAGATGGCAGCAAAAACACAAACTCCTGAGTTTTCATCGTGTGTGTGTGTGTGTGTGTGTGTGTGTGTGTGTGTGTGTGTGTGTGTGTGTGTGTGTGTGTGTGTGTGTGTGTGTGTGTGTGTGTGTGTGTGTGTGTGTGTGTGTGTGTGTGTGTGTGTGTGTGTGTGTGTGTGTGTGTGTGTGTGTGTGTGTGTGATCATAAAACACAGACCAGATGATTTTTAGTCACATATGAGCTCTTAAGCGCTGCCTCTAAAAATAACTGCTCCAAGGCCTGTTTTCCCCTGTCTTGACTCCATTCCCATCCTTCTGCTCAAGTCCAGGCACAAATAAAAACAAAACAGATCCCGTCAAAGATCAACTCAAACTCAGAATGAAGATTTGAGGGGCTGAGGAGTAATCCTGAACTGTCAGTGAAGGCATGGCACACTGTTTCTCTACCTGGTTCTACAAACTGAAGCGTAAAGCTGAATAGATGCAACGTGAGATTCAAGCAACACTTCAAAATAAAACGCATCTGCCTTAAACTATTTGGTCGTCTGTGTGCAAAGTAAGAGTTTAGCTACATAATGGAGCCTTTAGTCAAAATACTTCTTAAAAGCACTGAGGCGAAATTATGGGACCAACACACGAAAATACAGGAAAATCATTTTCGTGATGACTTTCATTCTAATTTGGGGCGTCGTTTTAAGAGTTTTCTGGTAAAGTTTGCAATCTTTATTGTAAATGCTAGAAAATGCATGTATAGTTTAATTTCCCTCTAGAGGGCGGGGCTTAAGACCAGTACTGCAGCCAGCCACAAGGAGGCTTTTGGCTTCAGCTTTCAATCGCCTTTCCACGCCTTGTTCTTGTGTTTTCGGTTTCTCATATTGCTTTAATATGAAGACCAGGGACAGAAAGCAAAGCGGAAAACACGATAAATAAACTAAAATAATCAACAAAAAGCAGCAATTTGTCAGATTTAAAGATGCAGAGCCCGTAAACGACGTCTTGATGAGAATGAAAACCTTTTTTGTGCAGACATAAACTGGCGTGGCAGCGAGAAAGAAAATCTGCTGAAGGAGTGAAAACAAAGAATTACAACAAAACCACGAAACACACTAAAACCCAGGATGGTGAGAACCCCGTTTTACAGAAGCTGCCTTTGCTGTTCGGTGGGAGCTCCTGTTATTGGTTACTCGGGACTTCCTGAATGGAACGATAAAGAAAGTACTACGCTTGCTTACGAGTTTCTTGGTATTTTAGCAGACAGCTCTCACAACAAATAGCTTTCTGAGCAGTCGGTGTTTTATTGTGAAAGGTTTAGGCGGAAGTGGTTTTCTAACCACTGACGTGAGGGACGCTGATGCGCTCCGGAGGAGAGGACGCGCGCTTCTCCGCAGTTCAGACGCACAAGGAACGGAAACCTCTCAGCTGGCACCGAACCTCCGTGGACCCCCTCTCCCCGCCTCAGTTCGGATCGGAACCACGACCCAAAGAGTCCAGATAAGTAGAGACGGAGCCTGGCCCCCTCTCAGACCAGTTCAGGTCCGGGTCTAAAGAGACAAATCAGACTAAACTGTGCAGCTTTAGGATTTGGACACACCGCCTGATGACTGAGATTATTCTGGATTAGGAAACTCTTGTTTCTGTGTTAGTTTTTCCCGTGAAGCCGAGCTGGAGGGACACTCTGGGAGCGTCTGGGATGGGAAGAGACGCAGACTTTGTGGTCGGAGCTGAACGCGCCGGGATGTAGTTCTGGTGGATCCGGACTCATGGACGTGAACTTTGCGAGGCAGCTTGGCTCACTTTCTGCTCCCTGAAGACTAAACATGGGTTGAAAGCGGCCGTGGCAGATGCGGGGACGCTCAACGTGGGAGGGAACCGAGTTTTCTGCGTTATGTAATTATTGACAGCAGCTGATCATAAGTGGTACATTCCAGGCAAACTCACCCATCACCCTCACCCCCCCACCCCTGCGTCGGAGGATTTAGCTCAGTAAAATCACCTGTTAAAGGTGCAGGTGTTTACTTTTCCTATTAAAAGAAACGGAGGAGTTAATATTGGCCCTTTGAACTTGACCTTTAACCTCCTCCCCCGTTGATCTGATCGAGTCTTAAAGCTCTGGGCCCAGTAAAGGGTTGACCATGGCATCTCTAATGAGTTATTTACTCCACGCTGATGTCAAAATGACTCCAACTACAAGAAACCAGACCGTCAACTCAGCCTCCAGCTTCTATGTCAGCTTTGATTTGTCTTCATGGCTTTGTGGGTTTTTACTAGCCTCTAAGATGCTGTAATGCTGGGTTTTGCCTGCGTCCTTCGGGATATGTGGTTGTTTTGGAATTCTGGCTCTCTTACTGTTTTACTTTTCCGTAGTCAAACGTAAGCAGAGACTTTGCTCATCCCTCCCTCCCCCCAACTCATCAGGGCTGGTGGGGAGGGTGGATCTGACCCCACGGGGTCCAAACTGTAGTGGGCGGTGGTAAGACACCCTCCTGAGGAAGGGTTCCCACCATGGAGTCCAGCCCAGAGAGCCCAAACCGGGCCGTGGAGTACCTCCTGGAGCTCAACAACATCATCGAGAGCCAGGCCAAACTCCTGGAGACGCAGCGCCGGCGCATCGAGGAGCTGGAGGGCCAGCTGGACCGGGTCAGCCAGGAAAACCAGGACCTGAGGCAGGACCGCAGCCCGCGTGCCGCTGGAACAGAACCCCCAGAGCAGAACCACAACCACAGCCAGCCCCTGCCCCTCGCCGTTCATCAAGGCGGCAGTGCCGGTGGCAGCAGCAGCGGTGGGAATGCCGGCAGCTCGACATCTCAGGTGACAGCTGGTTCGGCCACTGCTCCAGGATCCAGCAGGGAGAGGAAGAGTCATGCCAGGCTGACCCGAGGACTCTCCTGTGGCTCTTCCAACATGGATCGAGTCCGACTGGAGCGCACAGACAGCACGGACGCCAACACCAGTTCCACGTTACGCAGAAA